TTTTAAAAGTTTTTAGAAAAAAAAAATATATTGTAAAATTTTGAAAAGGTTACCGGTTAAAAAAGATTAGTATTTAGAAATGTGGTTTTTCAAAATTTTGATCGTTTTGAACGAAAAGTTTAATATTTACGAAGCAATAAARTATTAGTATTAAAAATATAGTATTACACAATTTGGAAAAATTAAAATAGAAGTGAATATTTTTCAGGTAAAAACATATTTGTATTTGTACTAAATTTGTTGACAGTTCAAAAAAAATTTTTTAAGGACAAACATAATAAAATTTTTCTAGAAATTACTTTAAAATATTTAATTTTCTTCGCAAGAATTATTTTTATATACAACTTTCAAAGATCTCTGAAGTTATGATAAACATAWAAATACACAGAAACTCATTTCAACTCAACTACACAACTACTCAACCCTACATAAAAATGTATATACACATATCTTTTCGCATGTGGTGAAGATTTGCATTAGATATGCGAAATTAAATTCTTAAATAARTAACAAATTTTATTCATTTATTTAATCGATCCATTGACTGGCATCGTTAATCAAAGTTAAAACTAAAACAACAATAAAATTTTAATAAAAAATAAATCAAACTGTCGAAAAAAATCTAATTAAAACGAAATCCACTTAAAAGTCCCACAACACCCTTTTCCAATTCACAGATATATGCATATATTCTATGTACATACATATATATATATATTTATATGTATGTGAATATTTGTATAAATACTTGCGTATTCATGCCGCATTAGCAACGAGTACGGCTAATTTGTTATGTGCCATTAACTATTCCAATTTATTTGCTTTTTTTGCCTCCATCGATTTTTATTGTTGCTAATGTTTTACTACTTTTTTTTATTATAAATACACATAGGAAGATATGTGTATGTATGTATGTGTAGGTATTTCGGTGTGGGTTCCATGCCAAACGGTAGCCGAATACATTTTGAAGGTAGCAATAAATTTTCTTTGAAATCAGCCGCAGCAACGGCTGAAAAATAACAGTAGCAACAACAACAACACTAACTAAATAACAAGAAGGCACTTGAGCAGTAAAAACAATCAGGCAACAGAGAAAACAAATCAGTAACAACCGCTAATGGCGGGCAACAACGGGCTACTAACCTAACATTCTTAGATTGTGCATAGGTGAATACGTTAACTTAATTAAGCCGGTTCCAGCGTCAGGCCCGATTGATGATCATACTGCGGCTGTGATGCTACCAAGAAGCGCTTATAACTATGCATATGTACATATACTATATGTATGTATGTGTGTATGCGTGTATGTTTGTATGCGCGTATGTACATTTGGTGGGAGCATGCAGCGCCTATGTGAGTGTGTGCGTGTGTGCTAATCCAACAATAAATCAGCACTGACTATAATGAAACCAGGTTTTGGCAAGCGTTTATTACTGAACTTTTAGTTTATTTTTGTTTCTATGAAATTTTGCATTGTTAGATTGCGCGACTGACAGCTTTGCGTGGGTGGCAATTTTAAGGAATAAAGATCACGTAAATTAACTGCAAAATAGAACTAGTTTATAACAACATTTCACTGTTTCACTTATGCAACTTAACATTTCGATATACATATGGTATATACTTACAGAYATACAGACATATATACACAAATCAATATGAGCATATATATGTACTAAAGGTATACTCTCACATTCTATACTCCATAAGAAGCTGCTCGTTTGTCGGTACCGCCGATATCGAACCTCTACAGCATATAGGTTCAATACAAATTGATCGACCAAAATCATAATAAAATATTTTTTTTTT